AATTGAGGTCAATTGGAGCAATAAAAGTATTGATTCATACACTAAATTGAATAGGAAATGTACGAATTTGATAGGAATCAAGTCATATGAAAATATTTTTTTTTTAAGAAGATTATTTTATGTTTCTTATTTTATTCATATTATACTATTATTAATTTTTAGTCCTTTTAAATATAAATTCTACTTTACATTCTTTCTAATATATATCTAATATTACTACTACATATATTTGAAAATGTATGTTGCAAAATCTTATTCTTTTTTTTTTTTTTGAAAATTCATTCAAATCGCTTTCTTTTTGTAACTTTGATTTGATCACTTATATTAACAAATCAAAACAGTTTGTAATATAAGTTAAAGAATAGAACTTGAACATAAAAAAATGACATGAAATTAGAAATGAGAGAAGGGATAAGAAAAAAACCCATAAAATAAAATTTTGCTAGTGAAGCAATTATAGAAGAAAAAGTTAGTAAAGACTTATGAAAAAAAAAAAGAACAAGAAGAACTGTTAAATACTTTCTCTTATTTTATAATATTTCATGTAAATCTTTGTATATTAAGTGTCACGTCCCAAAATCCAAATTCGAAGCTGCGGCAGACACCGTGCACTCGTGAGAAGGTCCCACAAATGCACGAGCCACAAATGCACGAGGCTCTAAACTTATCATACCATATTCTGATACCGTCAAAATCTGAAGATCAAATTTTATAATCTGCTTTGATATCATAAAATCTCCAAATACACTCTAGATTATAAGATCATGATTTATTCTAAAATCTATATCAATCTCGAAATGGCTAACTTTCTAACTCGTCACTTCCCATGGTTTCCCCGTCCTCAATTTCACTTCCTGAAATGGTGGATAAAGAAAAACTATGAGATAAACTCAGTAAGTAAATATGGAGTGCCCCTTATTAAACTTATAGCATGCCAACATGTGCAATCACGCAAAACGGATAGAGTACGAGAACGAAATAGACGTCTCCTATATAGGTCACGACCAGTGTATTAAACTTTCCACTGGCAGGCACACGATTTACTAGTGTATAATCCCCACTAGCAGGGTCACTTGTACGAACCGGCTCTATCACTAACATATCGACATGTGCCAACATGTGCTAGCGTTTAACCCCCACTAGCAGGGTTACAATAACATATCGACATGTGCCGACATGCGCTAGCATTTATAAACTCCTCCACTAGCAGGGTCACTAATAACATGACCATATTGGAGATAAAACAGGCAGAAGTTAACAAAAAAATCATACTTTACCAATCACTTTCAAATTATCAGGACAATCAATTAAACTTTCAAGTAGGCATGCTCAATTTAATGAAAAACATAAAATTTAACTTCAAATTAGTCATGCTCATGTAAAACGGGTTTAGTCCCGCCACCAATTCAAAAGCAAATCAAAACATGCTTTTAAAATCGAAGGGCGTTACCATAATCTACTTACCTCACTCGCATAAAACCGAGCACTCAATCTTAGTACTAACTGACAGAACAATCAGGAACCTAATCAAATATCCACAATTAATTATCGTATTACCACAAATTCAAACTGAAATCATCATTAGGATCACCCTTAATCACGGTGCTATTCCTATCAATCTCCACATGATTAAACATCTCCAAATTCGTTCTTATATCACAAACTAATCATTTAAATCCCCGCTAATTGTTAACCCTCGGTGTGTGAACAGTACCCCGTGAACAGTAACCACGAAGTGATTAGTAACTCCCACTTCCAAAATTGGCCAAAACACTAGCTAATCTCACGGGATTGTTCTCCAAAAATCTCACAACAATCAATTAACACTCAATCACATAATCCCACTTCACTTAAGCTAAATCATGGTCTTAAAGCTACCCCATTTTTCTAGCAAAATTCGGACATACACAGCCAGCAAACTAAATGAATAATTTAAGCCTTAAAAGGGCTGTTACATACCATAATTTTCCAGCAAGAACTGGACCTAGCAGGGGGAAGAAGCCGGCGGCAAGCTGCAGGGAAAGCTCACGGGTTCACCCAAAATCTGGAGAAACACTAGATTTAACATGAACCCAAGCTAATTCAAAGAAAAACAGAGGGATTTAATGGCTGTTTCTTACCCAAAACCCAAGCAATTTGCCCCCACAACAAGAGCAGCCAGCGGACAGAGCAAAGCAGATCCGGATTTTCCAGCAGGGGGGGAGAATTTCTGGGTTCAATTTGTGTTCTAGAGCAAGAAAAGAAGGCCAAAACCAAGCTTATCTCACCGGTTTCTCAAAGGCATGGC